GGGTCTACGAGCTGTTCCAGGCCCGAAAAAGGCCCAAGCTCCAGGTTTAGGGTTTCGGGTTTAGGGTGTAGGTTCGCAAAGCTTTTGGAATTGAGTTTGGAAGGCGTAGGGCCGTCATGACCAAGCCTGTTTTGTTCGGAGCTCGTTTACCATCGTTTCCAAAAGGGGGGCGTCGAGGCTTTGGGAACTCGGTCAAAACTTCGGCTTTCCGCCTCTAAGTGGTTGCAATCGTGGGTTCCCAGTCTTGTGCATCTCAAAGAGCATGCCAAGCTTGGCTAGAGCCTGACGCGGACCCGACGGGTCTGAAGCATGTTCCTGATTTCAAGAAGCTGATATCTAGACGGTACATGCGGTATATGAGCGCATTTGAGTAGGCACCAGTACCTGTCAAGCTGACCATGATGCGTTTTCTCTACTGGCAACACCAAGGCGTATACATATCTTAGCTCTCCTCTGGAGACATGCATGTCTGTCTTCAACTACTCTCTTATCTATCTAGCACTATGTAGCTAGCCAGGCAGCTAGTTAACATAAGCCCGAAACTCTAAAACCGAAAACACGGAAACCCCACATTCCTAAACCCTCAACCCCAAGCCCTAAAGCACTGGGCACTAAACCCTAAAGCTAAGAGCCAAGTGGGGAACCCCGGGAACCCCTACCGGTCCGCTTCAATTCTGGCCGGGCTGCTTGAAGACCAGAGGCATCTGCTTAATATGGCCCAGCTTCCTTAAAAGCGGGTTTGGGATTTCGGAAACGCAGCTTTGGTCGGCTTAGGGATCTAGGCTCTAGGACTTTACTATGTGGGGTATTATTGAGCTTCGGGGGTCTGTTACGTTCCTCCAACCTTGGGGGTATTGATGTAGGACAGAAAGTTCGTGGCGGGTGAGCGAAAGGTTAGAGCTTTCGGGCTGCCGGCGTCGCCCGTCACAATACATACTATGAGGGGCCTAAATAATGACAAATATTATTTTGGGGTTCCTTTTTCTAATTATAGCTATAGCTATAGCATAATGTGCTCAGCTGTGGCCTCGACACCGTTATCACAGCAAGCTGCCACGGCGATTCCGGCATGTCGTAAAGGCCATCGAGAAGCTCCTGGCAAGATATACTAGACTCCAGGGTTTAGGGTTTAGGGATAGTGCACGACTGTCAGCGGTTGCGTCATTGCTACAGCCAGCATGATCTTGAAACTGCCATTCATACCCTTGCGAAGGAACATGACGAAACATTGCGGGTGGGAAGCCGTCAGACGAGTTGGCCGGAATTCCGGCCATACCACGGCCGCGATTCCTTTGATTATCTTCGGAACAAGTACGTGACCCTACTAGAGCCACTAGAGTGTATTGAAGTTTATGGGACGAAGGGGGCCATTCTCGCTCTTCCACTGCGGCGATCAGCGTCAATGGGCAAAGCCCAGTCCTCCGCAGGATCTTCCGGCTTTCCTTCGCTGGTCCCCCCAAAAAACGAAGCTAGAGGGTGACGAAACTCGAAGTCCTACCGAGTTGTATCATTGACGCTTAGGCCCAAACCCTACCGCTCTCCAAGGCCGACAGCCGCCAGCGCCTAAGCCCCGAAAAACTCAAAAAATTGCTCAGGGGTTCAGATATACTGCCTCACTCATGCGGATATGGTTGGAATAGGCCTGTTCACCTCACAGTTTCGGGTTTTAGGGTTTAGGGTTTAGGGGACGCCCCCCTCCCAAACTCCTCCTGATTCAAGGGCTTACGGGATCCCTTTCTGAGGTCCAGGGGGCCGGGAAGGGGCCGCCTTGGCTCGTCCATCTTCGTGAGGATCCTGGGCTGCCTAAAGCCTACTCCGGCTGATGCGAGATGGCTCAGGGGGTTCAGGGTTTAGAGTTTAGGGTTTAGGGTTTAGGGTTCAGGGTTCAGGACTCAGGGGTTATAGGGTCTAGGGCTCAGGATGCAGGACTCAGGATTCAGGGTTTAGGATCTCGCATGTGGAGTAGCTGAATTCCTATGCCCTAGGCCTCTGGGGTTCCTGCTCTGGCACTCTGATTATGATTAGGATGAGGCCATGATGCCGACCGCTGTTTCTGCTAACAACATATCGATAACATGCATAAAATTTTACATGCATAAACACACAGATAGATATATATATATATATCTACACACATATATATATACACACATATACTATGTATTTATTTATTGATTCATTTTATTTGCTTGTTTATACATATATACATATAGTTAAACGTACATACATATGTATGCATGAATACATATGTATGTGAACATGCTTCTTGTCTGCCCATCTGCGATACGTATGTTCGCCTTACTCAGTCTTTTGCTGTCTTGATGGTTCTTCAGCAGGAGGGGGAGGGGGAGTCAGCAGAGAGTCAGCAGAGTCGCCGCCGTGGCAGCAGGAGTGGCGCAATCATCGCTACGACTGTGACACGCCATCTTCAAGTCTAAGAAGATATTCCCTATCTCATTCTGTGTTTCCTGGGGCTTGCAGGTTCTCAGACTGGGACTTCGAGTTCAGGGCCGTGTCGGATTCAGTTCAGATCAGCCATTTTAGGATTGTCTGGCTGCGCGTGACGAATGCAAGCTGTGTTTTCCGACGATGGTAGCGGAATCCTGTGCTCAGTTGCCGGAAATGGGTTGCTTCAGAAGTTTGACACCCACGTGCTGCATGGTCGGCTGTTTCCCGCTTGGGGCTTGCCAGGCGGCACGGACAAATTCACCCCAGCGTCCGCCAGCCACTTGATCCCTGCACAGGGTTTGTCCCTGCTTGCTCAACGCTCCTGGGGATGATTGTTATCATTATTATTGTTACGATTATTATGGTTATAGCCATCAATTATTATTCTGATTATGATGATAATTTTGATTATTATGATTATGATTATGATTATTACTATACATGAAGGGCCAAGCGCTGGTTAGGCTGCTGTTGCGCTCGCAAGCACGCGCCTTGCAAAGCAAACTGCATTCCGAGCTCACCTTGTTCACTGGCCTCCTTGGCCCTTTCCCAGAGAACCCAATACCCTTAAGTTAAGGAACATACCTTAAATCAAAATATTAAGGCCCTATAGTTTAAGGTCTATTCCTTAACTAAGGTGTATTGGGTTCTCTGGGTTCTTCAGACCCAGCTGCCCCTGGAACTCCGAGTCTCCTTAGCCTGGCTTCAAACCAACACCTCACGAGCCTCAGATCCCCCCCGGCCTGAATAATTCGAAAAGGGTCGTGGGGTACATTATAAATTATACTACAAGGATGATAAGGAGCCCCCAAAATAGTATAGGTAACTGTTAAGGCCCCCCCTCAAGCGCCCGAAGCCGGGAAGCACGGAGTCTCGACGTGAGTGGACCCCTGCAAACCTGCGCACCTAAAGCCTCAACCTTTGTGAACCCGGGCTTAAAAGTCTAGGGCTTTGGGGTTTTCCGGTCGACCTGAAAACTTTAGGCCTCAAACCTCAAAGCTTCGACCCTCAACCGTGGAAGTGAACCTACAAAACCTCTGAAGCCTGAAGATATCCTGAAGCCTTCGGAGCCACAAGCTAGGTTTAGGGTTAGGGTTTAGGGTTTACTGGTTGGCCCTTTCAAGCCTCTGAAAAAACTTTGATAAATAGGGTCCTCTTAAGCCCAATAAGGGAAAATAAAATATCCCAAAGGCCTACCTAGTTTAGGGTTTGGAGTTTAGGGTTCAGGGTTTAGGGTTTAGGGTTTAGGGGTTAGGGTTTAGGGGTTAGGGTTTAGGGGTTGGGGTTTAGGGCCTTAGGAGCTCAACTAATGGCCCCGCGTAGCACCTTGGAGGTCGAAAAGCTGCAGCTGGTGCGAGCCGTCCACCAGGTAGAACAGCTCCACCAGGGTCCTCAACAGTAATAGTAATAGTAATAGATAGTAATAGCAATAGAAAAAGTAATAGTAATAGAAAAAGTAGTAATAGTAATAGTAACAGTAATAGCAATAGTAATAGTAATAGAAGGCCCCTTTAAAGACGAGTCTTGTGCTTAGAAGAGAGTGCCTCATTTCAAGATGAAGGGCTGTGTAGAAGCAGGGATCTGTGAAGAAGAGTGCTGTTGAAAAGGAGGGACTCCTCAAACAAGAGTGCTTTTCTTACAAAGGGGGATGTTTGAACGCGCCTCTTCCGGTGGCAACACATTATTATACTTGTATACATGCTGCGAAACTGAACCGAATCCCGGAGCAGCAACTCCAGAGCACAGGACTTGGAGTTCAGGGGCTTTGGCCTCGAAAGCAACAAGAAGCTTGATATGCTGTTCGTATCTCTAGTATAGTATAGTATAGTATAGTATAGTATAGTACCGGCCACAAAGCTCAATCTGTCGAACTTGATCCCAGGCCGGGCATCTGCCGGTGGCGCACGTAGGCCGTGACGATCTTGTCCATCTGCTTCAGTTCGCTTCCCTTACCTCGAGATTGCTCTGGAGGGTACGTACAAGAGAGCCGTACTTCTCATCCCACCCGCAGTCCGTAAACCTGATGCCCTGAAGTGCCTGGTTCAGGCGCTTCGAGTTTCAATGGTTTCTCCGAGAGAAGACCTAGTGGCTCGGACTGTGCTTTCAAGTTTTCGTGGGCTTCTGGCGAAAGAACGCTTTGGCACGAATCTGGCCTTCAACGTTCAATGAAGCTTCTGGCAAGAAACCTTTGGCCCGAGTTTGGCTTTCCTTAGGGTTTAGGGTTTAGGGCTTTAGGGTTTTCGGGTGTAGGGCTTCTCTGGCAAAAGAACGCTGCTATGGTCTCAAGTCGGCTTTCAACATTCAGTGGCTCTTCTGGAAACAGACTTCTGAACTTTCACTAGACTAGAATCCGCGAACCTTGTGGAAGATTCTTAAAGTGGTATTTTGTGTCTAAGCAATGAGAGTACCTAAACCCCGAAACCCTAAGCAGCTTTGCGGCTAATTAGTTAGAGCACCTAAACCCCGACAAACCCTTAACCCTAAACCCCAAATCCTAAACCAAAAAACCCGAAGCCCCGTATACGATTCTAGGAAGCATCCCTGCGCCCCGCCTTCGGCATACCCGATACCGGGCATGTCCACGAGGTAGAAGGAACGCTCGCCTGAGTTTCAAGTTTGCGGCTTCGGGCACAGAAAGGCTATGCAAAGGTTGGTTAGGGCTAAATAAACGTGGGGTCTAAGGGATGTAGACAAGAGTACATAATAAAGTTCGGGGGTTAGCGTTCAATTGGCGCAAAAAGGTTGTACAAAGTTTGGGTTTGATTATGGTCTAAGGTTTAGTGCTGGGGCCTGTGTCCAGCAAAGACTGCCACCTGAGGCCACCGATATGTCTAAGCTTGATGCCAAAATGCGCCAAAACCCCCCAAAAAAGGCCAAAGCCCCTTTGAACCAAACCCCACCTATCGCAAACACTCTGTAAGCCTCGCCCTGAACCCCAAACCTCGGTCCCCCGAAGCACACCGGGGCGCAGAGAAAGTGGTGGATCAGCTTTGTGTGACCCGGCCGCTTGGAGATCGTGGTCAGCTTTTTCCGCTGGCACCTCGCAGCTCGCGGAAGGTTTCGGCTTCGGAGGTTTTGATTTTTGAACAGATACGAGTAGCTTCGAAGCAATGAGCCTGCGAGGTTTATGGTGTTTAGGGCTAGGGCTTGCGGGGTTTAGGCTTTCGGGCTTAATTAGGGTGATTTGGGCGTAGAGTTGATATTGCTGGTGTTTGGAGCCAAACCAATTGTTGAGAAAAAGCACATTACGAACCATGGTTCTGGACCTTGAACATCAAGCTAAAACGGGGAAACAGTGCAGTAATTTCAAGTTGTTAGATGAAGTCGTCACACTTGGAAATTCGACAGTCATGCCGCAAACATTGGCACGAATGCCGGTGTTTAGGTCCGTGCCCATGCATGTGCGGGTGTTCACTACTCTGCCAAGTCCATGGCACAGGAAGTTGAGCAATGAAGACTTTCCGACGTTGCTCTGCCCGAAGAAGGCAATCTCCTCGCGCAAGAAACGATGCTTGGGGTTTGGGACGTTCAGGTTTCGGATAGAAGTGAAGTTTCGGGCTTTTGGCTTCAAGCTCGCGGACTTCAAGGTTTGGGGCTGAAGCTCCCCGCCAAATCCTTGATCGGATCCCTTCCCCGCCGCAAGGCCCGAATCAAACTGGCTCTACCGTCTCCTGCAGTCCTTGAGAGCCTCCCCTGTTTGCAGCATCGTTCTACAGAATCCAACACGGAGCTTCTCGGGCCACTTGCGCCGCGCAGCGCGAGCTTTAACCGCATCCCCATCGAAGCCGAGGCCGAAAATGAACCAAGATGGTGCCTAACGTCTAAGCCGTGACCGAAACCCCAAACCCTAAACCCCAAAGCCCGGTCTCCGGCTTCCGCTCATCTTCGGGCGGGCACTGCGAGTAGAAGAAAGCTCGCACGGGGTCGTCGATGTCTGGCAGGAGAAGTTCTGGCTGTTTAAGGTTCAGGGTTTGGGGTTTAGGGTTTAGGGTGTTCAGGATTTAGGGTTCAGGGTTTAGGGTTTAGGGCTTAAGGGGCCTGGGGCTTCAGCTGATACGGTTCAGGGATGCTGCGGTCACTGGGGGGCAGGGCTTGGAGCAGATCTGCCTCGGGCGCAACGCACCCACCCAAAAAACGCAGGAGTGCAAATCCTAAGCCCTAGGCCCTATAACCCCGAAACCCTGAAACCGTTTCGGCCGGTCCTGTAATCTCCGGCTTGATCTTCTTGGAGATGCTCACGGCGCTGGATCTCCGGGCTTTGGGTTTTTGTTTAGGGTTTAGGGAGTTTAGGGTCGGTTTAGGGTTTAAGTTTTAGGGTTTAGGGCTTGAGATGGTGCCTCTCATGCGGACTTGTTGGCGTTGTTCGCTTAGGGCTCAGGAAGGCATTTTTCGTCAAAGGCTGGCTTTAGCAAGGTTTGGCACGAGCGCCTTACAGGATCAAAAACTTAGGGGGCCCACACCTTAACGTGGTTTTCCCTCACGTTCTCCATCAAACAAGAGCCATCGGAAGTGTGGGCCCCTCTATCTTTGCGAGACGGACGGATGAAGGAGGAGCAGTCGGGAAGGAGCAGGGGGGGGGATCGGGGAGGCATCGGGGAGAAGCCGGAGATCTGCGCTTCCAAAGGAAGCAGAAGGAGAACTCGGCAGAACCCTAAAAGCCTTGAAGGCTGAAAAATGCATGCTTCTCCATATGATGCCGTGCTTTTGTTCCGCATCCTCTGGAAAAACACTATCTATATCTTTTGCATCCATACACATACATATATGACATAGGTACATTGCAAACACCGCTCCCGAAATCAGGGGCCCCTGCATTTAACCTTGGAGCCCTGGTTAGTGCTTGATACGCCAATTCCCGCAGTACACAATGGCATTATCACCAGTAGGACCGGCAGTATCGTCCTTGTTGTCCTGCATTCTTCTGCTTCACTTGTCATTGCCAGCGCTACCGATGCACTTCATCACCTTCATCAAACATATCTATTTTTGCACTCATCTTCACAACTTGCTGTTATGTTGAGTACACAGGCGTGTGACTGTCTGTCACCCTGTCTGCTTCCTGTCGCTGGCCACGCATGGGGCTGGGGCCTTTTCTGCTCGATATGCAGATTCTGCTTTTCGCCCATTGTGACTGTGTAACTCTTCTGAGTTGTGTGTCCGATTCCTGTCATCACTGTCATGCAATCATTGCTACCATCGGTATCATTAGTAATACCTAGTAAGTCGCAATAAGCCGAAGAATAACAAACAGCAACGCCCACAAAAAAAAAAACGTATGTCACTTACCTTCATAAAGATTCATGCAGGGAGGTTTGCCATAACCCGACTGCAACTATGCCATATTTTCTATATGAGTCACTATGGGATCTGGCGCCTTGGCTTCTTCCGGGCCTGCCGTCGCGTGGCAGTCCGCGGGCGTGCGGCAGCTGCAACTGAAAACGCCGTGGCGGATTTTGTTACATCGTTGCTTGTTAATTGTGGTTTAGAGCATAGGCTCCTTTGGGGTCTCTTGTTTGGGTGAGCATTGAGGCCTACATAGGGAAGGGTGTTTTAGGGTTTCGGGATCTGGGCAGTCAGGAATCAAAGTTGACTGCCAACAGCCCGAAAGTCGGAAAGCTGCCTCCTTATCTGTGACCGCCGTTACAAAACTGAGCAAGCAGCCTCCAGCCAGCACGACCCCCGCCGCTGCGACGCGACGCCGCACTGTTTGGAGGGACACCTGCAAATCGGTCTCAATCTCCGTCGATCCGGTCGATCAGGAAACGGTCTTGAATTAATGGTCGGCTCAACGTCTTCCGACCCGTTCATCTGCATGTTGACCCGGCACCCCTTTCCCTGAGGCTGTGGCCCCTCCTCGTCCCCAGCCCTGAACGCACGACATCAACTCAGAAAGACTAAACCGAATGCACAACCTACAGCATCCAAGTTGCACTCCTCAGCTGGGCTAAAACGGCACTAGATTGCAAACAACGCCCGACTATGACTATGCACTTCCGAGGACCGTGCGTTGGCAGATGTTCGTGGACCCACATCCTGCGTGCGCTTGCGGAGGTTTACAGTTTACAGATAAAAGCCCTTTCGAACTGTCGGCGTTGGCCGTTATCCTCTCATGCATGAGGCAACATGACTCCTTCTTGTAAACGGCGGGCTTTCGAATCCGACCGCATCTCCGTTGCTTTGACGTGGGGAATAGCGACTTTCTCTTATGCTACTAGATGTGCAGCTACAAGAATGCAACTATTCGCGGAATCCGCGGCACAAAATTTATTGGTGACTCGTACGGATGGATTGGCAGAACCCGGTTTTCGGCTTCAAGATCCGGCTGCTAGCGCCAAGGGCTTAGGGAGTGAGGGTTTAAGGCTGTGGGCATGCGTAAGAGTTTGAGGCTTTGGGCATGCGTAGGTTCTGTGGCAAAGAAGGAGGGGCAGCGGACGTCATTTAATCCCCGGACGTCTAAGGTTAAAGCTTTGGCAGGTCTATCCATCTCATCATGTCAAATTCTCGAGCAGCAGCAGCAGCAGCAGCAGCAGCTGCAGCAGCGATTGCAGCAGCCGTACCAGTTGCAGTAGCAGTAGCAGCAAGAGTGGTAAAAGCGTTACACCACCAGCAGCAGCAGCAGCAGCACCACCACCACCAGCACCAGCACCAGCACCATCACCAGAACCAGCCGCAGCGGCAGCGGCAGCGGCAGCAGCAGCAACAATTGAACACTGACGGCGACGAAGGCGACAATGACTGCTACTACTATGGCTGCAGTCCCTTGTCGTGGGCGGTTTCGGCTGTTGCTTGGAAATTGTCAGTGCTTGATGACGAAGGGGCGGGGCGGCGCGGGACAGGGATGGGTGAGAACACTTAATTGGCTTCACTCTCATCGTCTGGGCCTAAGTACAGCCAACTTAAAGCCCTAATGTAGGGGCCTTACTGATTAGCATAGGGTTTTGGGGTATATTATACTATAATTATCCCCTCCTCTTCAGGTTTCGGGGTTAAGGGTTTGCACAGGGTTTAGGGTCTAGGGGTGTATGGTGCAAGGCACCCCGTCTGTACCGAGGCGCTCTCCCTACTAAACTAGGGTTTAGGGTTTAGGTTTTAGGGTTTAAATTGTAGCTCAAGAGACCCCTCAACGGGACAGGCCATTCTTACAGCCTCCATCACAGTCGGCCTGAGGAGGTTGCGAGTTGTGGGATTGTGGTTTAGGGTTTACGGGGTACGGATGCCGCAGTACAAATGCCAAGAGCCCACCCCCCCCCCTAGGCAAGCTGAAACCATCAACACCTAAAAAGTCTTTGCCAACATCATCAAACTCTCAAGCCAAGTCAGTCACTTATCTCGGCCATATCCCCAACTACTGAAACCTCAACCTCTTCACCCTAACATCTCAACACTCCAGCACCTCCCAAACCCTTTAACAGAAAGCCCGCTAAACTTGCCCCCAAACCCTACGTCGCTCTGAAAAACGCAATCACCCCAAAACCACAGCCCAAAACAACCAAAAACTCTCGAAAACCCCACATCGTAAAACCCCAAACCCTAACCCCAAATCCTAAACCCTCAACCCCGAGATGTGGCCTCCTGCAACCTGGCAATCAGCGGCCCCGCACCGCGCCAGCCACCAGGAGCGCCCCGGGTTGGAGGCAGCATGTTCAGGTACAGGTTCAGAGCTTTTTGGACTTTTTTCGCTGCGCGCTTCTCATGCCGGAGCGACCCAAATGTCTGGTTGGGGATTCATTTCCGTCCGAGGCTCATGGTATTAGCGTTTGTTTTGTTTAGAGTGCCCTTTCTCGCAGCGATCTTACGTATGAGAATCGGGTTGCAGGCTTTAGAATTTTAGGATTTGGGGTTTGGGCTTTGTTTTGTAAGTTTAGGGCCTTGGGGCTTAGGGGTTAGGGTTTAGGGTTTGGGGCTTGGGAGGGGGCCATCCCGGCCTCTTCAAGGGCCCCAAGAACTAGCCAAGGGTCTCACGGAGCTTCAAAACAGGGTGATCTGGCTTGCGTTCTGCTGAAAGTTAGTTGAGACTGGATAGGAAACCCTAATCCCTAAACCCTAAACCCCTAAACCCTAAAGCGGTACTGGGGCAGGAGAGTTTGGCTTCGACTTCTTGGCCATGCCCAGATCTGCAAACATGCCATCCATGGGATGCTGCCTGTCTACAGGGCTTGATCCTCAAAAGGTCCAGCAGGGAGCAGCGGAGCGGCGGAGCAGCAGACCGGGCAGGGTGCAACGGAAGATTTCAACCCGGGCGTTCGTAGGCGAAGGGGAATGCAGAGCCCAAGAGCAAGCCAAAATCAACATTGTTCCAGGTTCAGTCGGGTGCCCCGATGTAGCCAGACAACAAACTAAACTCAGGCCCGCTAGACCCGTGACCCCATATCCCCAAAACACTTGCAAACCTCAAGCACAGGTCCGGGCTGGTCCAAGCGAGCCATGAGGATGTTGCAGGCCTGCACCAGCGCAACTACGTGTGTGTTCAGCTGATGTGTGTGTGTGTTCTCTACAATCTTACAGTATCACTTCGCACTCTACTCTACGCCATAGTGCAACAGGTTTCTGAAGTTCTTCAGAATCGAACATCAAGTCAGTTCCGGGTGATGATGGCAATCTGGCACGATGTATACTCCTGAAGTGCTGGATGGTTCGGAACCATATCGCACTCTGAAGATCATTAGCACCGTCATGACATAGAATATGTTAACCCGCAAGTCGCTGCCCGTACTACTCATCGTCTTTATGACAAACCATAAACTAGAACCATCTTCCAAGTAAGAACGCCCCGGTATTGGACTCAATGGTGGCCCTGACAGAGCCACAAGACAAATCTTCTAAATCCCTAGCGATGAACCCTAGACCCTAAAGCCCTTACCTATAGTACCTTCCCTTAAACCCTAAACCCCAAACCCTAAAGCCCTTACCTATAGTACCCTTCCCTTAAACCCTAAACCCTAAACCCTAAAGCCCTTACTACCCAGAGAACCCAATACCCCTTACTTAAAGAATCTACCTTAAATCATAATATTAAGGCCCGGCCCCTATAATTTAAGGGTATATTCCTTTATTAAGGGGTATTGGGTTCTCTGGGTATAGTACCCTTATGCATGGGAACCCTACGTATTTGGGGCCCCGTCCTCTGACGCCCACTCCTCTTGCGACTCCATGGCCACCAGGTGCGGCCTCAGGTCTCTGGGGTTGAGGATCTTAAGGCGTTTGAGGCTTTAGGGTTTAGGGGTGTTTGGGCTTTGGGGGTTTGGGGTT